GCAGGTGCATCATCGAATCTACTGTGGGCCAGTAACAGGTGGTATCTCCTAGTTGTTTTGCACTATAAAAACACTATCTTGTTCAGTCAACTATTAACCCCAAGAAGGAATCTTTGGAAGAATAAGATATACCTGGATGCCTGGATTTGAAACTGGTGAAGGAGTTATAACTCAACCAGCTAAGTGTGCAATGGCAGTTCCCTTGAAGTTTGGAGCCACCTATTCAACCAGCAGTCAGCTGAGGTTTTCATATTTCTTCAAAAGAGCTAACGTCTCATTTGCTGGAGCTGACCTTGGTGACTCTTCAACCTCAGCCCAAGGCACCGTCCCTTCTCTGTGTTAGCAGGAGACAGAAGTGTATTCTAGTCAAATTGAAGCAGGAAGACTTCAGGCTTGTGGGCATCAGGAGAACCCTCAAGAGTGAGGCTTTGAATCAAGAGAGGAAGCAAAGATTGCAGCTCATCAGTGAGATACCATCTCCGAGCTTCCTCCACATAACCTTTGAGCCAGGACCCAAGGGTTCACCACCAGCACCACCATCACCATGTCTCTCTGCCTAAGGTAGGAGATCAGAGGGTCTTTCTCTGAATAAATTCCTAGAGAAAAGGTCTGCTGATATTGAAAGAGAAAGAAAGAAAAGAGAGAGAAAGAGAAAGAAGGAAGAGTGGGAAGAAAAAGAGTAGGAGAGACAGAGGAAAGGAAGAAAAAAGTGAGAAAAGAGGGAGGATGAGACCTCTCTATGAGATCTCCTTTCAACAAAGTTCATTGTCCCTAAGAGACCATCTGGCAGGCTTTTTATGCTATACTGTGAAATATAAGCATGAGGCCAGGGATCACCAATATTTGAGAAGCGCTTCCAGAATGTAGGCTCAAGACCAGAACAAAAGTCTAACAAAAAGGATAACTTTGAGGAAGATAGTACAGAGATGAGACAGAGCTCATATAATAAATACATTAGAAGATAAATTGCATCCACGGCTGGGGTTGTAGCTCAATGATAGAGTTCTTGCCTAGTTATACACCACAGGGTTAGAAGATAGAAGGAGGAAGCTACTGGTGATGTGTGGGTGGGAAGGAAGGGGAGGGTTGTGGAAGAAAGTTAAATCATCCTTAGCACAATAGCAAGTCACTTATTGCCTAAAACTCATCAATTGAAAGCTAGCCATGCTGGGCCCCTACCAGCTGGCTGCTCTGAGCATCCTAACTGTTCTGCTTACCCATCTCAGAAGCTTGAATGAGGAAGCCAGTTCACCTGGAATACAGCAGATGTTCCATAAGTTCTTATAGCATTTCTTTATTTGCTCAACCTTGCTGATGAAGATCTAGAAAAATGCATTCAGTTTTTCTCACTTAACAAAGGGATGGTCTGAAAGTTAGCAACACTAGCTTTGGTTCTGAAGCTCAGTGATATTGGCCTGGCATCTTGGAGATTGTGCTAGCATTTTCTCTGTGGGCCCAAGAGGGTGGCTTCAACTCTAGCCACTGTTTCCAGCAGCAGGGAAGAGGAAGGCGTGTCCCTGCCATTCATCAGGATAGTGATGACAGCAGTGACATTAGAAGCCTCAACAGACCCTCATCTGATGTCTCATGGGCCAGAACCAGGGCACACAATGACACCATGTGAAGCATGGCTGGCTTTCCCAAGCCCTGAGGTGGAGGCAGGCAAGAAAGGAAAAATTGGAAATACATTCTGGGTTAGCCCATTAGCTAATAATTTGGAAATATAGAAGTAAATGCTAGAATTTTTCAAAAAAAGCTAAAGTAATAAAAAAAAAGGTTTATCTCTTAGAACTAGAAAATGGGAAGGAACCAGGTATGGATTGCTGTATTTCTATAATATCAATGTTATTTTCACTACCATTACTCAATGTAATTATTTGACTAAAACTATATAGTTCACCCACAAATATATTTTAGACTTGTGTATACATATATATATATATGTATATACATATATGTATATGCAAATATATGTATTTATATTCACTTTTAATCGAAATAAAATTAGTCTAAGATATTACAGAACAACTTACAAACATATCAGGTTCTCTCTTGCCTGGGGTCTTTGTATTGGCAGATAAATCTCAAAACTCTTCCTCCCTCATCTAAGTAACTCCCAATTTTCCCATGGCTCAGTGCTCAATCGTCTCTCCCTCAGGGAGGGCTCTTCAGCTCTCCCATATTAAGGGGAGGTATACTGGGAAGATATATTTCTCCATTATTTATTCATGTAGCACAATGTTTCTCCTCTTAAAAGACTTACCACACTTGTCATTTCACATCTACTTGTGTAGTGTCTTGATCTACACTGGCCAGAGCTAGGTCATCTGGCCAGTGTAGATCAAGAGTGGAATCTGCCTTCCATGAGGTTAAGGAATATTCATTCAATATTTGGACAAACTAGATTATCTTAAGCAAGTGGGAGACTGACATTTGGTTTTAAAATCAACAGTGATTTCACAGTATTAACAGCTTCATGGTACAGGTGATAATTTTTTTTTTCACATTTCTCAAAGGACAACCCACCAATAGAATATTTATTTGAGTAATAAAAATGGAGCACTAACACAACTATACAGAAGTCAAATGTAGTAATGGTTGATTATCAAAGAAAAATAATAGCCTAAAATAGGTTATAATTGTGAGAATAGCAAGTAAAAAGGTTTTTTTCTATAACCTAAATGGGAATTTCCTAAACAATGGAAATGAAGGACTTGTTTGGTTGTTTTCAGTCTGGGCACTCCTCTCCTTTTTTTCTTTCCTCTAGTCTGTCTGTTTTAAAGGTAGAGTAGTTGAAAAGGACTCTTGAGTTTCCCCTCTGTTCTTTTTTTTTTTTTTTAGTTGCTCAAAACATTACAATGATCTTGACATATCATACATTTGATTCAAATGGGGTATGAATTCTTATTTTTCCACGTGTACAGATTGCAGGATCACATTGGTTATATAGCCACGTTTATACATACAGCCATGAGTACAGGTACAGGGTAGAAGGCATGTGCAGGAGGGTTTCTGAGGCCATGGATGATCTCCTTGTTGAAGGTTTCCAGGCTATAAACTGTTAATTTGCCAGGAAGAGAGCCCTATGATGTTGCTTAATGCAGGTGTCCTTCCTGGTTCTTGTGGTCAATTGCCATAAACCATCAGAGAGTATCTTGACAATCTCTGAGCCACTTATATATAGCTCCTTCTGGCTCCCATTGCGATGTTAGATATTAGAGATGCCCTCGGGTCTTACTCCTTAAGTCAGCTATTGGAAAAACCAATCGCAGATCAATATTTGTTCAAGTGTCAGAGAATTACACCAGGAAGGCAGGATCAAGGGGAACTTTTTTTTTAAAATTATTTTTCTTTCTTTTTTTTTTTCAGAGAGAGAGAATTTTAATATTTATTTTTTAGTTTTCGGCAGACATAACATCTTTGTTCGTATGTGGTGCTAAGGATTGAACCCAGGCCGCATGCATGCCAGGCGAGCGCGCTACGGCTTGAGCCACATCCCCAGCCCCTCAAGGGGAACTTTTGAAGGCTGCCTGCTGAATATATATATAGTTTTCAAAGTTAAAGCGAAAACAGAAACAAACCTGTTTTGAATACAACTTATCAAAAAGACTTGTGAAAATAAAATATATAGAAGCCGAGAGAATGGGTAAATTAGAAGGGAAACAAAAGTGAAGGGAAAGAAAGGTCTTAGTGTGGAATTTGCAGGCTTGGAATCTGGGAGAAAGCACTGGTGAGTCACCAGCTACCTGGGTTGTCCCAGGCAAATGCAAAATGAGTCCTTAGCCAGGATCTATCTAGCCTCCCCACCCCTGCTCTCCCCGCTGCAGGCAACTCAGTCGCTTGAAGGGAAGACTGCCTGTCCCTAAGAGGGGCCTAGACCCTCCCTGACACAGATTTCATGATATAGGCAGCCACCTCCCCCAAACAACCTTAGAAACTCATGGTTGTTTCTGATGATAGGCAAACTGGCAGCCCTTGGGGGATGGGGGATGGGAGGAATTCAGTCCAAGAATGTATTTTGTTGATATGCTCAGTGATTAAAACAATACAAAACAAAAACCGAAGACTGTATTTTTTAAAAATATTTATTTATTTATTAGGTGTAGATGGACACAACACAATGCCTTTTTTATTTTTTATTTTTTTAGAGAGAGAGAGGAGAGAGAGAATTTTTTAATATCTATTTTTCAGTTTTCTGTGGACACAACAGCTTTATTTTTTTTATTTTTTATGTGGTGCTGAGGATCAAACCCAGCGCCCCGCGCATGCCAGTCGAGCGCGTTACCGCTTGAGCCACGTCCCCAGCCCCGAATACAGTATTTTTAAAGTAAAATTTCCCATGAAAATTGATTTCATCTTCTTAAAAAAAAAATGATCTGGCAACACAGGGCCCTAATGGCAAAAATGGCCCTAGGCAAAGGTGTCTCTTATTTGTTCAGTTTCTGCCAAACTTTGCATCTCTACCATCCTCAGGCTGAGTGGCAGTTCTTATTAATCATCAATCTTCTACTATTTTTCTAACATTTTTTCCCACACCCACGTCTTTATCATTAATGTAGAAAAAAGTTCAGACAAAAAATTTAAAGAGATCCTATTTCTCTATAGAAATTAAGAATATTGTTCGGTGTTTGTTATGTAAAGAATGACTGACTTTAAAGGCCACATATTGTCTTTGGAAATCAAATGAAGAACTAGGATAAATGAAACAATACAGGATGAAAACATTACCAAACTGAAAATGAGGATGGAGTTTGTTTTTGTACCTGAATAAAATGAAGTTGCTGCAATAATGTAGTGAGGAATTTGATGCCAGGGCATTTAAAGCTGTTACAGACGGAGGGCTTATAACAGCATCTATTGAATGTAGCAAAGGAGATTTTCCCTGATCAGCACAGGGAACCAACTAAATGTGCTGAACACAGGGCTGGAAAAAGGGAGGAGCAGTTTGTTGAGGTCTCCAAGGAGGACACCAATGAACTGCATCTTTTTTCCAACCTAAGTTCTTAACAGGGCAAGAAACAGAGGTTGAAGATGGAGGCCAAAATGTCACCTTTTCCATTGAGAGAGGCACCACTGAGAATGCAATTTGATGGAAGAGCAAGCCACTTGGAGCCTGCAGACTGAATTCCAGGTTCCAACCCCACCCATGCTCAGGCCTACAGACTAAACCCTCCAGCAGATTTTGTTCAAGAGAATGAAGTTGAAAGCAAGAAGCCAAACAAACATACCCAGTTTATCTTCCCAAATTTTCAAATCAGGTAAGCCACTGGCAAACCACCAACGATGGTATTCTCTTGAGGAAAAGGCAGGTATAAACACCACCCTCCAGTTAGCTCTTATTGAATGGCGTTAACGAGGATTTAGATGGGACCAAATAATTCTTAGATGTGCCGACCATGACAGGAAAAGGTTGGGTAAAACTCATGAAATGTGACCATTGCTGGTGCTCCTGTGGAGGACAGCATCAATGTCTGATTGCTTGAAATCCTAATTTATGGTGGAAATCTGCTCTGTATTCATGGAACATACAAATGGAAGTGATTATATGCAGTACAATGTGGCATCCCAAGGGAAATATGCCAACATTGGAATCCTAATTCTGTAAGGATCTTGGGAATAGTTACCCTAAATATAAAAAACAGGTACCTACATTCACATAGCTGCTTTCCATTATAAATAGAATTAAACTAATCCCACAGGTTTCATTGCTAAGTTTGGAGCAGCACAGTATAATATGCAAGACCCCAGATACAGCACTATAGTGCGTAAGGAAAGGAGGGCAGATGTCCTATGGTCCTAAACAAAAGAGGAATGAAACACCACCTCATCTGGGCATCCTTAAAAGACCCCTCTCACATCAAGAGAGTAGGTCATTCTCTGGACTGGGTTCCCACAGCACTTGGAACTTTTGTTTGATCCAGTTAGCATTCTGCATTGCAAATACAGAAACCCACTTGAGCTGGTTACAAGTGGAATCACATTATAAGGATCCAGGGTGTCCCACAGAATCCAAAGACACACTTGCAGGCAGCCCTCAAAGAGGGCTGCTGCCAGGGGCTGTCACAGGGGCTGTCACAGGGCCCGGAGCACCCTCCTGCTGCCTCTTCCTGGGCTTCTCTCTGACCAGGCCCTTCCTTCTTTCTTGGCAATCTGCTTTGCTCTGCTTTTGAGTCCACTGTGTAAGCCACGTGGAGAAAACTCTCAGCCATTCTCTCTCCCCCTGTCTTCCTCTGCCACTCCTCTTGCCCTACTCCCCTTCCAAAAGCCTAGGAGAAAAAAATCGGATTGGCCTAGGTTAGGTCAGCTGTTCATCCGTGGGCCAGTCTGCAGCTTCCAGGCAGGCAGGCAGGCTCAAGTAGAAACAGCTATCCCTTCCTGCCTCTTCTCCAGCACCCACCATCAATTTAGAAGGATCAGACTGACAATCCAATAGGTGTCCACTAAAACATGGTGTACAAGTGTACTGATAATTCTCCAGGCTGAAAACACACAAGCACACACACTGCTATGGAGCTGTGTCCCTCAGGATTTTTTTCAGTTACAATTAGAAGAAATGAATTCTGACAACCTATACCAGGACCAGATTTCAATGGAAAGATTTGGGCAGCTGACAGACTCAAAGGGAAATCTGAACATCTGGGTTCAGGAAGGGCAGAAGCTGGTCTGCTCCTGACTGTTAGGTAGTCAGCATTAGTTGAGGTCAACTCAGGGCACTGTCATGCCTTGTGCTGCCCCTTAGCTCAAGACTTAGGCCATATCCCAGGGAGAAGCCATCAGAGTGTGTTAGCTCTGGGTCAAATGGCCCATGCCATCCCATTGGTGGGTCTGTCCGTGCTGACCCACTATGCCATGTGCTGTTTCCAGAGATGAGCTGGCTATGTCCAGTGAGACACCTGTACCCTGAGGAGCTATTAGCACATTCTCTGGAGGTAAGTAAATTCTCACTAATTAGTCTACTCTGCAAGCAAGGATCATTCAGGACCACAAAGAAATACTAAGTTCACTTAGGTAGATGATTTAATTAATTAATTTATTTATTCATTCAGTGGTACCAGGGATCAAACCTAGTACATGCTAGGCAAACTCTCCACCACTGAACTACATCCCCAGCACTTTTTATTTTATTTTCAGGCAGGATCTCTCTAAGTTGCCCAGGCTGGCCTTGAATTTCTGATCCTGCTGCTTCAAACTCTTAAGTCACTGAGATTTCAGGTGTGTGTCACTGTGCCTGGAGATTTTTTTAAATGTATATTTTTATACTTCTCATAATTGTTTCATTAAGTTCTTGTATCAGAATTTGATGTAACCATGTGAGATATTGACTGCCACCTGAGACCTTGTTTTTAATGGCATGAATACCTGCTTCGGTAAAATTTAACAAATTTTAAAATCGCTTACCTTTCTGTGGAAATGCAAAGCACATGAAAATAGGTCAAGTGTTTCCTTTGTAATCTCTTTAATTATAAAATCTCTAGGGTTTTGTTGTTGTTGTTGTTGCTTTTGCATTTCATTTACCATTAACATTCTCATGCTTTCATTATTTTCATGCCCCAAAACAATTATTTTCTTTGGGGTCACTTTCTGGAATTTTGCTGTGTCTTAGTCTGGAGAAATTGAAGGGTGGAATCCAAACAAAACTGTGTTTACTTTTTCCACACTTCAGGAACCGGAGTAAATTCAGTCCCCAGAACCCTAGGGGGGGAGGAAAAAGAAAAAAAGACTTTTCTTTGTACGCAACTGAAATTAGCAAAGAAGGCTTTATTTACACTGCACATTAGCATCCTAATTAAAAGGGTAAGGCAATACATAGATAATGATAGATAATTGCCCTTGACAGCAGTTATTGATGAGATATGGTAATCACTTGGCCAAAGGCATTTTCATGCTAATAGAGTCGAATTCTATGAGCTGCCCCAATTTTTATAGAAGGACCATTACATCTGGGCAGAAGATTTTCCAGAAGTCTCCTTTTCCAGTACTTCACCTGGGTTCCAAGGAGTATAGTCATCCTTCTTTATCCACAAGGGAATTGTTCCAGGACACCCTCCCCCCACCCCATGTCCTCCACAGATACTAAAATCAAAGGATGCTTCAGTCCTTTATGTAAAATGGCTTAATATTTGCATACCACCTACACACATCCTCTTGTATGTTTTAAGTCATCTCTAGATGATTTGTAATGATCCATACAATGTCAATGCTGTAAATAGCCATACTGTGTCGTTCAGGAATAACAAGGGGAAAAAAGTCTGCACATGTTCAGCATGGACAATTTTTTTCCCCAAAACATTTTTGATCCACAGCTGGTTGAATAGCTAGGTGCAGAACCTATGGACATAAGGAGTGACTCTACCATTTTCTCTCAGGTACCTCTTGCTTAATTGGATTGGCTTCAGGAAAGGGAGAGAGCCCAAGCAGCCTTGGCCTGTCCCGGGCTGAGGCTGGAGGCTGTGGTCAGTCTGTCTAGCCTGCCCACCTCTGTTGTCTCACCTTTGTATCCTCCTTTCCACTTGTCAGCTCCTAATGTGGGACACTGCTGTTGAGCTCTGGTTTTATGCCTAGGTGAGTGTTCAACAGTTTATTTTGATGACTTGCTTTTGGATTCAGATTTAATAAATCCAAAGATGGTGGGCTGAGGTTGTGGCTCAGAGCGCTTGCCTAGCACGTGTGAAGTGCTGGGTTAGATCCTCAGCACCACCTAAAAGTAAATAAGTAAAATAAAGGTGTGGTGTCCAACTACAACTAATATATATATTAGTTGTAGTTGGACACAGAGAGGAATTGCCTTCTTAGAAGTCAAGAAAAAGAAAAAATGAATCCAATCAAGTTTCTACTGGCAGATGGATACTGCTGTAAATCAAGCAGGACTTCTCCCTTCCATATTATGTTGGAGCATATGCAATTGCTATTTAACCACTTTAAACATTACTGTTTTTTTTTAATTGTGGTACAATTTTTAGTTGTACAGGTTAGTGGTATTAAACACATTCATAATGTGTGATTATCTCTACCATTCATCTCATACCTCTTTTTAATTTTCCCAAATGGAAATTCTGTACCCATTAGATATTGACTCACATTTCTCCCTCACCAACCCCCCACCCAGCAACTCCCATTTTATGTATTTTTGATTTTTGATTTTTTGTGTGTGGTTTTAACTACTCTATCTACTGTAAGAGGAATGATATATTTAGTTTTTTTTTTTTGGGGGGGGGTTGTGCACATGTGTGTGTGTGTGTGTGTGTGTGTGTATGTAGCTTATTTCACTCAGTATAATGTCCTCAAGGTTGATCCAGGTAGCACATGTCATAACTTCCTTTATAAAGCTGAATAGTTTTCCATCGTATGTATACACTGCATTTAGCTCTTTCATTCTTTTGTTGATATACACACAGGTTGCTCCTATGTTTTAGCTATTGGGAATAATGCTACTGAACATGAGTGTACAAATGAGTCTCTTTGAGACTCTCCTTTCAATTTTTTTTTTCATATATACTCAGAAGTGGAATTGCTGCATCAAATGGTGATTCCATTTTTAATTTTTTGAGAAACCCCATACTGTTTCCCAGCAGCTACACTATTTTACATTCCCACCAATGGTGCACAGGGTTCCAATTTCTCCATATCCTCACCAACATCTGACTTTTGTTTTTTCAGTAGTGACCACCCCTGGATATTAAGTGGTATCTCATTGCTTTGATTTGCATCTCTTTAGTGATTAATGGTGGTGAACATCTTTACATGTGCTTATTGACCATTTGTAGATCTTCTTTGTAGAAATGTCTATTCAAGTCCCCTGCCTGTAGATTGCATTGTCTGTTTTTTTGTTGTTATTGCCTAGTTTTAAGATTTCTCTATATATTCTGGTTATTGATACCTTATCCTATGTATGATTTGCAAATAGTTCTCCCTCATGTGGATTGCCTTTAACTCTGTCGAAAGCTTCTTCTGATGAATAAAATTTAAAATTTCTCAGAAAGTCTGACTTGTCTGTTTTTTTTCTCTTGTTGCTGTGCCATTGATTTCCATACCCCCCCCCCCAATCACTACTGAAACCAATTTCTGTGAAGTTTTTGCCCTGTATTTTCTTCTAAAAGTTTTATGGCTTAAATCTTACATTCGGGTATTTGGCGCATTTTGGGTTCATTTTCTGTATAGTATTGGGCTAGGGTCCAACTTTGGTCTTTTGCATGAAGATATTCAGTTTTCCTGGCACCATCTGCTAAAAAAACTATCCCTTCCCATTGGATGATCTCAGCCCCCTTGCCAATTATCTCCTCGTCATATGTCTGGACTGTTTATTCTGTCCCATTGGTTTATGGGTCTATCTTTATGTTAATACCCCTCTGTTTTGATTACTGTAACTTGGTGGTAAGTTTTGAAGCCAGAAAGTATGAGTCTTCCAACCTGTTTTTGGCAAATTGGGGCCGCTTGAGATTCCAAATGAATTTCAGCAACGTTGTTTCTATTTCTGCATGTGTTTAACCATTTTTTTTATTTTTGAAATCTGAAATTTTATGTGATTCAATGTAATAGTTGAACTCTGTGGTGACAGTGGGGTGAGTTAAGCAGAAGGAGGGGGGAACTGATTTGTTTTTTGAACACAAGCATATGAAGTCATTGAGCACATGGCTCAGAAGATATTTGTTCATCCTAATTAGAATAAGGTAGACTCCATGTATGTATGTCAAAATACATTCTACTGGTGGGTATAACTAAAAAAAATTATTTTAAAAAATAAAAGAAGGTATTCATTAACCAAATAAATAAGCAGTGGCATAAAATATACATAAAATATAAGTAGGATGTAGTAACATCTTGCAGAGTGCTTATATATGTAAGCCCTTTTATGTAAGAAATATATATGAAATATATATGATAAGTGAGCATAAATGTCTGCTATGTGGTAGCAACTCCATAGATGTCAGAAAACCTCTGAGACTGAGGCTCAAAGAGGTGAAATAACATACCCAACAATAAATAGCTAATAAGCAGTGGAGACAAACTTGAGTGTATTTGGTTGAATTCAAAACTAAGCAAGGTGCGGCGGTGCACCATGATGCCAGCCACTCAGAGGCTGAGGCAGGAGGCTCACATATCCCAGACCAGCCTCAGCAAGCACATTCTAAGCAAGGGTTCTTCCACTGAGTTACCTCCCCAGCCCTCTGTTCTGCTTTTATAGCTGTATTTAAGTTCATTTAAATTTAAGTTCATTTCATTACACTTCAGTCTTCATAGCCCCTTCTGTTCTGCATAACCCCTAAAGTCCCCCACCATTCACCTCCAATTTTTAATCACATTTACCAGTGAAGTCTCTGAGGTGGTCATCTGGATCTGGGCCTCTGCAATCAGAAACAAGGGCAAAGAACTTGCCTCAACTAGGGGGCTACTGGCATCTGCTCAGCACCCTCACCAGCCCCACAAAATGTGCCATGTGACTGCTGTGAGGTGACAGGCACACAATTCTGCACTTGTGCTCTGCTTCCCACTCCAGGGAGGAGGAAAGAAGAGCAGCATTTGCTGAGGTGCCTTTTGTGAGCCAGCCACCACACTAAGACCCTCACTTATATTTTTTCTTGTGCTGTTCATCAGAGTCCGTGGTTATCCTTATTCAAATGTGAAAACAGAACTCACCAACACAAGGACCACAATGCATTTCAAACCTGCCCTCTCTTGTTCCAGAGCCCTGGAGATCTAAGATGGACTGGAATCATATCATCATATCCCCAAGGAGGAACATAAGAACAGCCAGAGGAGAGATGCAAGACTGAAATATCAGAAGATAGGCCACGGCTTACTCTTCCTTCTGGTTATAAAATGTCATCAGGTTGAAATTGTTTAGAGATTCCCAAGTGCTTACTGAGGCCCCACGGTGGGGAGTGGGGGTCTGTCTGCCACAACTGCCCTGTCACTGTGAATCAGGAGAGAGGAGCAGGAAGATGCAGTGCCTGGTAAAACCTCTCTTCAGGAAAGAGGGAATCAGAAAATGATGGGCCAAAAGAAGGGTAGAGAAGGAGGTTGTGTGGCACAGAGACCAACAGCAAGGATTCTAGAGCCAGGTTTGAAATATGCCTCCACTGCTGTGTGCTGTGTGATCTCAGAAAAGTTATATCCCCTCTTTGTGGCTTCATTTCCCCATCTACATAAAATAAAATTAATAAAGTTGACCTCATTGGATCCAAAATAACAGGGATTTAAATGGCTGTTTTTGTAAGGGGCCTAGCATGTATTAAGACTTTACTAAACCTTTGGTTCTCTATCTTCCTCCTAGGGATTAGAGAAAGCAACAAGCACTTTGTTTAAATGCATATAAAAAGGTTTCAGGCAGCTTCTTAACAATGAGGATCTTTGTTGGTGAATATGCAAATGAAAAATAAAGAGAGGTTAAGAAACCTTGGCCAGAGGATCCCTATCTCTGCTTACAATCTGGCTAATCACCAGAGTTTTCCACCTGGGAAAATGGCTGAGGCTCCTGATTAGGCCACTCTGTCTCTGATGGGGGTGAGCCTGCCCCCTCCCTGACTCCAGCCCATGCTGGGCTCAAAAGGGTCATGGGGTGGGGAGCTCTCACCTCTCAGGGCTCTCTTTGTCATTCGAAGATGGGCCAAACCTTAGATGGAAGAGGAGGAAGGGAAGTATGGGGGTGTTACAGTTGAATCTTCTGTATGCTGTGAAATGTGCAGAAACAAGAGGTCTATAGGAATAAAAATCACAGATGTCAAAATCTAAGGCCATCATTTGACAGACATCCTTTCATCAGTATCAAGATGATCCCAGCTATGACTCACAGAGAAATTCAATGTTCCTAGCACACACTTAGTTTTTTATTTCAAAGTATAAGAATTATTTTAATTATTTTTTCCATTTGTAATTGCTTTTTTTTTTTTTTTTTGGATCCTGATGCCTTAGTCTCTGTTCATTGCTGCTTCTCAGAGAGCTTACATTAATGCACTGGCACATTGGATCTAACCTGTGTCCCTGCCTCCTTCAGTTTAGTGTTAATCCTGTGCCTTGATTGCCTGCATCACCCAGCCCTGGGTGTTCTGCTTTCCCTCTCCTGTTCCTGAAGGCAAACATCACAAATGAGCCCTTTAACCCCCGCCCCCTGCTTTCTTCAGCTCTATTTGATACCTAGGCTCTTAAAAAAAATTTTTTTAACTCATTGAAGATGACTTATTTAAACTGACAAAATGCAGTTTCATGCAACCCCAGCCCTAAAAACAGTACAGAGCTGATCTTTACCATTCTGTAGAATAAAAAAGAACCAAAGTGATTCAAATGACTCTTTATTTGGTGCAGGAGGCACTGGGACCAGGCTGGGCAGATGACATTTTATTTCCTCTCCTTTCATTCCTTTCTCCTGATACATGAACACTTGCCCTCTGGGCAAGCAGACTGGTTGTTTCTGTTGGGAGGATGCATATATTTACTGTTTTATCACTATCTTTAGATTTTAACTTGGTTTTAGTTTGGGGACCAATGGTGGAAATGGGAGCCCAAGAAAGACCTTTGCATGCTATTAGAGGGGGAGATTAAGGCAGAAGGATATCAGATAGGTCTGCAACACATGTCTGTATTAGACAAACATAAGCCAGTTTACTTCCAGAAGCTTGTGTTTACTCTTCTTCACTCACTTGCTTAAACTTAATGGCATGCTTTTTAAATACTAGGAAATGATTGCATGCTATGAAGGTAGTTTTTTTTTTTTTTTTTTTCACAAAAAACAGGTTAAGACACTAGTAGCCACGCTAAGTTTGCTTTTCTAAGATGATGTCCAAACTCTGTTTGGGAAGTGCAGCTTGGTGGAATAAAAAATTATTTCACCATCCCCAATGGAGTCCTTGAGAAAATAAAGTGTCAGTTTGGCCATGCAGCAATAGGGTATAAAAGTATTGAGTAAGCTAACGACATTCAAACTTCACTATGTTTGGGATTAACCAGGAGATGAATTTTTTAAAAATCTATGCAGTTGCTTGACGCTCTACCCTAGAGATTCTTTAATGGGTCTAGACATAAGTGTTCTTCTTCTTTTTTTTTTTTTAAGAGAGAGAGAATTTTTAATATTTATTTTTTAGTTATTGGAGGACACAACATCTTTGTTTGTATGTGGTGCTGAGGGTCGAACCCGGGCCGCACGCATGCCAGGCAAGCGCGCTACCGCTTGAGCCACATCCCCAGCCCGACATAAGTGATCTTTACAAGCTCTTCAGGTGATTCTAAAGGCACCCTATGTTCAGAATATTTGTGTTAAGCTCTCTCATTTACAGAAAGATCCAGAATTTATTTTAGAAGGATCTATGAGAAAAGCCTATTGTTTGATAGTTCTTGGTCAGCTTTTTGCAAATGAACACTGTGAAATAAATCCAGTGGAAATGACTTTAAAAAGTCATTTTAAAAGGCCTCCTGTGCAAGCAGGGTGCCCCGATAGTTTCTTTTCCCACCCCGCCAGGGATTAAGCCCAGGAACACTTTACCACTGAGCCACATCCCCAGCCCATTTTTGTATTTTATTTAGAGACAGGGGTTTCACTAAGTTGCTTAGGGCCTCACTAAGTTGCTTAGGGCCTCACTAAGTTGCTGAGGCTGGCTTTGAATTTGTCATCCTCCTGCCTCAGCCTCCTGAGCTTCTGGGATTACAGGCGTGTGCCCCACACCCCACAGTCTCTTAAATGATTTTTTTTTACTTTTGTACCCTTGAGTCTGCCATGGGTGTGGGCTTGCTGACTCCTGAGATGCTCTCAATCCATCTTTTCTATTGTCTCTCAGTATTTAGGTTCTTTTTAGTGACCATAATCTTTTCAACAACCATAGTTTCCTTGGTCCCAATTTTACCTATGCTTCTTCTCTGGCCAAACTGAAAGTTTTAAAAAATCTTTCCTCCATGCTTTTTACTTCTGATTCTCACAATAAACCTGGCTAAAAACTGCCAGCAATATTAATGCCATCACCTGAACACTGCATTGCTTTGAAATTTACACCGTCAGATTAATTGGTCCACCATTTTTAAAATTTAGCCTCACAGAAAGTTTGAGGACATGGACAAAATGTAGACTGGTTATTTGTCAAGATGTAACACAAATGGCCTCTATTTCAATTCCCAGTCGAGTCCTCGTTCCCATCTGAAAGCTCATGAGCACAGTCTTTACTCTCTGCATTTTTCTGGTCTTCTGGGATTTCCACCAGAATCACTCATTAAGCTCCACTTAGAACATTCTACTCCTGTTTTGCCTGAATCTCACAACTCTTCTGAACTCTTCCCACAAACCAGTTCCAAGGACTACTAAACTACATGGTCAGATATGTCACAGCAACAACCCCACTCCTGGTACAAATAACTGTTAGTTAAATTTTTATACCAATGACCAAAATACCTGATTAAAATGGCCTAAAGGGGGAAAAAGTTTATTTTGGAGTCGGATGCAGTGGTGCACACTTGTAATCCCATTGTCTTAGAAGGCTGAGGCAGGAGAATATCAAATTCAAAGCCAGCCTCAGCAACTTAGCAAGACCCTAAGCTATTTAGCATGAAGTGTCTCTAAATAAATAAATAGGGCTGGGGATGTGGCTCAGTGGTAGAGCACCCATGGATTAAATCTCCAGTATTAAAAAAAGTTTATTTGAGCTCATGGATTCAGAAGGCTGACTCCATTGCTATGGGCCTGGGGTGAAGCAGAACATCATGGTGGAGAAAAGTTGCTCAACTCACAGCAGCTGAGGCACAGAGAGACAGGCAAAGTATAATCCCCAGTGGAACACTCTCAGTGACCTGCTTCTTCCAGCCATGCTCCACCTGCCTACAGTTACCACTCAGTGGTCCAATCAAATTATTAATCTATCAAGTGGATTAATCCACTGATATGGTTATAGTTCTCATCATTGTCTGAAAGCCCTACATCTGAACCTTTCTGCATGGGGAATTATGCTTTTAAAACATGAACTTTTGGAGGGACATGTCTAGATCCAAACCATAACAGTGGTTTCTAACTACTGAAATTTATTTGATGTTTACTGAATTTAACTAATTCTTCTATAATTAATAACCATCTAACAACCATGTGAAAATTCTAGATCTCAATCTTCTTATCTCTAGAAGATAGACTGAGCTCACATGAATTCTAAGGTCCCTTCCATTTCTAACTTTTTTTTTTTCCAGTGCTGGGAATTGAACTCACTGAGCTACAGCTGCAGTTTAACTTTCTATCATATTATGATTCCTAATTTCATTATTTAAGTAACTAAGGAGGATCATGAGCAGAGGGGGAAAAGTAGAAATTCAAAAGAAAGAAATAATGAGGATAATGATAATAGTAATAATAATAACAATAGTAATAATAATAATAAATAGTGCTTAGTAGAGACAGATTCTAAATCTGAATATTCCAAGGGGATATTTGTGTAGCAGGGTTACAGGGCTGTAGCTCAGTGGTAGAGTGCTTGCCTAGTTCTTGTGAGGCCCTGGGTTTGATCCTCAGCACCACATAAAAATAAATAAATAGAATAAAGGCATTGTGGAAAAAACATTTATTTCTTTATTAGTTATAATTGGACACAATACCTTTATTTCATTTATTTTTTATGTGGTGCTGAAAATCGAACGCAGGGTCTCACATGTGCAAGGCAAACACTCTACCACTGAGCCACAATCCCAGCCCGGAAAAAAACTCTTAAAAAAAAAAGAAAGAAAGAAAACAGACCTAATGGAACTCAACTGACCTGCTTATGACCTTGGACTGATTAACTTCCCTGTCTTAGTTCTTTCATCTATAAAATGGAGTCAGCACTGGCAACAATACAGTATTTGAGAAAATTAGAGTATTTGAGAAAATTAAGCAATTTCATTCAATAAAATATTTCAAACACTACGTGAATATACCAAGTGCCCAATAAATATTGTCTGTTGGACTGGGGATGAGGTCAGTGGTAGAACACTTGCCTAGCATGCACAAGGCCCTGGGTTCAATCCCAATCATCTGTCACACATTCACACACACACACACAGTTGTATGTATGCATAATATCTTTTATTATTATAGTCTCAATATTCCTTCTCCTGACCCAAGCTCAAGCTCACTTGAATAGATCAAAAACCCTCGCTGCCTATAAGTTCTACACTCTCATTAGCTAAACGAAACACACACTAAAGAGAATAGTAAGCTCAACTTGTGTTATGAAGTGATATCATGTTGCT